CCCCCATTCAAAATCCTGGCTACGGGCATAACATAGAAGCTGACGGACAGAGACAGATGACCACATGGCGTGGATCTATACAGGACACGAAACGTAAACGTACGTCACTGCCCACTTTCTCAAAAAAATAAACCCTGCCTTTTTATATCTCTAAGACGCCAGAAATCACCCATTACCGGTTCCTGCAGATGAAAGACCAGACAGTAACTATGACATACTTTCGGATTTTTATAGAACAGAGACAGTTACGGGAAGATACTTTGAAATGACATCCTAGATATATCAAACCTGGACAGGCTTATTTTCGCGTTTCATCGACCAGAGTATGACGCACGTATGGCTAGGCTTACAAAGCCGTGCGTACATTAAATAAAGGACAGGCCTAGGGCTTAAGACCAGTCGATCTTAAGAAAGGAAGTATCCAGAAATAGCTGAATAATGTCATACAGTCTGTAAATAAAACTGAAAATAAATTATATAGCTCCAGAATATTCAGAATATATGGAGCTATATCTTCTGTCAGCAATAGCGTACGTTAAATAAAGGACAGGCTTTAGGGCTTAAGACCAGTCGATCTTAAGAAAGGATGTATCCAGAAATAGCTGAATAATGTCATTCTGTAAGTCAAACTGAAGATAATGTAGGGAACTATCGTCTGTCAGCAATAGTGACATTAATCTTGTAGGAGGAAAGGTTGCAAAGTGGTCTTGTGGTTTAGGGTTGTTATTGTTGAATATTAACTCGAAGGTTCTGGGTTCGAATCCCCGGCAGGCCCCAGCAGTGTGATCTTGGGGAAAGCACTTAACACCAACTTCTGCACTACTTCACTCAGGTGAAAATAGGTAATAACTTCGGTTATGGACGTCTTCTGTTCTCGGATGGGACGTTAATTGGCACATGGCCCTGTGTTTTAAGGAGAACCACACCTCGAGCAAGTTAAAGATCCCAACACACTTATCAAAAAGATCAGGGGTTCTTCCCGGTGTGAGTGGGCCAAACCTTTCAGTCTGGTCTCATCTTGAAAAGGTAATAGTCACCTATCCCTTCACAACGTGTGGTTCATCTCGATAAAAAAGGTTCCGATGGGGGAAGTATTTTGATGAAAATGACCACATACAAACCGCAGAATTGAAGTAAAGCATTCCAGAAGTTTAACCTCTCAAAAAGACTTTGCGTGGGCTGATGTAGGTCAACTATTGTACAGTAACAATACCACAAACCTGTCTGTACCGAAGCCTGTTAATCCACGCTAATCTCTCCGGTGCTCCTCTTCCCGGGTTCCCATTGTGTCTTAAGCCCCTGACGTGTCATACATAGCCGAATACATTGCTGAAATCCGGTCCACCACCATGCACGGTTACTAGTAGCAGTAAGGCCATGTTGATTTGATTATATGGATGACATCCACGCGCGCATGAATTTTCAAAAAAAAAGTTTTCGACCATACTGTAAATCGTACGTAATGAGCGAATATATGTCGTATGTTGCAAAAAAAATCGGAAGATGATGCTAGTGTCATAGAATGCCGAAATAAATTCAGGCAAAGAAGAAAATGTGAAGAAATGAAAATGAAGAGTCTATTATCATTCGCCATATATATATATACCATACTCTCATACTCTGTGTGCTTAGTCATTTGTTCAACATTTATTATCACGTAGATTTCATTTTTTTTATTCGCACGCTCGCATCAGTTTTGGGGTCCCCAGAGGATGTCATCCATATAATCAAATCAACATGGCCTAAATCGGGAGGAAGTCCGGCTAATGGTTGTGATTGGTTGGAGCGGGGTCGGCTACTGTTCGGCTGCGCCAGCCGAATGTTTCACAATGTTTAAATCGGGGCCATGGTTGGCTGGTACCGGTGGTTGGCTGGTCTGCGGGAGTAGTTTAGGACGTCAACTTTAACTCACATTTAACCCGTATTCGATCCGTATAGAAAAATAAGCGTGGCCTAAATCTGTTTAGACAGCTTTCGAACTTCAGCCGACTTTAGTCAGTTGGTGGTGGGGGGAAAGTTCTGAATGAGTGAACAGGTATGTTGTAAATATGAAGACATCGATATGTTTTCTTTTGAGTCTTTTTTGAGCCGTACAATGCATGATAGCAAAGGAATGTAGAGTAATTCTAAACGCAAGAAATGTACAAATTACGTCAAAGAAGTGTAAATAGAGACGCAATATGGCGTTCGCCAAAATTCTTGGGCTGGTGGAATTTTATCAAGCATTAGAAGAAATATAATCACTTGTTATGAAAAGCTAAATGAATTAATCATTTACAGATGAATACACCTTGCCTACCCTTGTATACAACTTATCTGTAATACCATACTCAAGTGGAATGCGTAAGCATTTTTCTTTTCTTTTTGCACGGTTAGATTCTAAGTGTGTCGCTATCGCTAGAATTCCGTCTCATGTCTGGTCGTTGCCATTTGAAAGGTCAATGCCACATCGCTAAACGGAAAACTTTAAGTAAATATTTGCACACTCAGTCAACACTGTGCTGGTTCGTGGCGTAGAGAATTAGGGCTTCAGGACTGAGCTTTTTTTCCAAAGTTCGAATCCGAGCTTGTGCTATGTTTTCACTAATAGCTATACTATTTTTCACGGTGCTGTCTTACATTTGGCAAGCTGCTTTTAATAGTTTTTGCCCCTAAAATGTTATGATACGTTTGAACATATAGCATCGACTGGACAGTGATATGACATAACTAAATAATAGTAGTTTTTGACAGTATCTGTATCTGTATAGCCGGTATAACCGCCATTTGGCGTAACACACCAGCTTTGCAGGCACGCGGCGCGGCGGCAGCTGGCTACAATACACCGAACGACTTGTTTCGCCAAACCCTTGGACATCATCTAACTCTAAACATTGTTTGAAACTATCTAATGATAATACCCCTTCTGTACTAGGTGACACAGCGAGTTCTACTCTGCGATAGTTCTAGGAAAGAATGAATTTTTGAAAACGTCAATCCTTGGTTGATAACTCTGGTACTTGAAGGCACGACTATTTCCTGTTATTTTCTGCTACACTCCTGTCTTCCCAGCATGTACGTAAATGTGTAACTTAAACCTCAACCCTTGGATCATAACTCTGGTACTTGAAGGCACGACTATTTCCTGTTCTTTTCTGCTACACTCCTGCCGTCCCAGCATGTGTGTTACGTTAACACGTGTCCTTACAAACCCAAGCCTGTGTGCCGCCCACAGGGCACAGGATTACCGCTAACCAGGGTGGGATAACTTTGTACTGGGTGGCAGAAATTAAAAACCCGGGCTGAACTCCTAGGCTGGTGCCAAACAACCTCTGGCCGGGCGGAACAAGCCGAAGCCGACCGGTTGAGTACGCCGGGCAACCAGGCTAGTGTGTCGCCCACAGGGAACATGATTACCGCTTACCAGGGTGGGATAACTTTGTACTGGGTGGCAGAAATGAGAAAACTCTTGTCGGGTGCCAAAAAACCTCTGGCCGGGCGGAACACCCGAAGCCGACCCGTTGAGTATGCCGGGTAACCAGGCTAGTGTGTCGCCCACGGGGAACACATGATTACCGCTAACCAGGGTGGGATGCCAGGAACTTTGTACATGTGAGGTGCGGAAAACATGGCAACTTGCCGACAGGGAAACTGGTACTGGGTGAAAACAAACTGTCGAATAGCACACAATTCTACGATTTTAACAATGTTTCTACGTGGGAATCAACCATGCATCGCAAAAAAAAATAAACATATTGGCGCTTGGTATTGTTTGTACCCTGAAGTTCTTCATGCCTCGTAACTAGTAGGTATGGCAGGTGTATTATTATTCAAGCGTACATACGTGTATGCTGGCACTACGCACAGGGCATTGAACCTTGAATATATTTTAACAACAATACACTGTAATAGTTACACAGGTATGTAGACTTTAACCCTAGTTATAGGCGTCAAAACAGCTTCCCCCCCTTCCCCCACTAACACACACTAACACACACAAACACACGTCAAATGTAATTTTCACTAAGATAACTCTTTTTGACAACAAACCCTTTGATATCCAACTATATGATGACTCCCTGAAGTGAAGGACATATCTCTAAAAATCAAGAACGTTTGCTCGGTGAAGATACTCTAAATACTGTAGGAGAAGATACGTACTCACGATTGTATCTTGGAGGCCGTACATGTATCTTGTACTCCAGGAAGTATGGAGCACCTAGCTGGCTGACGTTTAGTACTAGGATACAGTCACAATCATTCGCGTCGAATGGGCCACAATGAACTCCTATGTTCTTCACCTTTAACTGCTACAAACAAGGTCCTAGAACAAGTAAATCCTACACAGGGAAGTCAGCGTCCGTTGACTGTATGCTAATGTAGAAGTTTAAGCGTAACTCACGATGACATCGACAAATGGGTCGGTGGCATGCAGCTGATCAACACAGGAAATGACGTAGTGCGTAAAATGTGGGCGCGGGAATTACGGAATTCCTGGTATGGCCGCGCCTTCTGTTCTTAAACCAATCAAAATATAGTCAATTTCAAAGGCCAGAGAAAGGCTGCTTCGAGTCGGATCGGAACCGGATCGAAGCCGGATCAAAGCGGATCTATCCAGCTCGATCCGGACAATTTTATCCTAGTGAGAATGAAGTCATAGAGCGTTTCACTTTATCATTTGTATCCTCTGAATGCTGGAAATCAAGATCAGATATTGCCACTCGTCATATAGCAATAATTAACGCCTAGGTGACCGTTAAAACTGCGTTAGGTAACATTAGGACGTTACAAAATTAAAAAGTACATTTTCTGGTCATATCTTTGCAAAGTAGGTTGCATTAACCCTAATCCATTGCAAATAAGTGCCGCTCGGAAAGTGTATAAAAGATTGAAACACAGCTGTCAGCCGTGTTTGTTTACATTCTGATAGTTTTGGTGGCACCTCGTTTGGAATTAGCGAAACATAGATTTCAGAAAAATGAGATGATTGCATATTTCTTTAAATGAAATATTTCAATTTTTAGTGCAGAAATATTACCTAATGCCCCTTTAAATTTAAGTCAGCAAAAAATCCAATCATACATTTTGCTAGTAGACTACGATATCGGTCAAGTTAATAAGTAATTAGCTCAAAACTTTACATAATACTGTTAAACCCTCCTATATCCTTCTGGAACAGGGCCAAGAAACGCATGTGTCACAAGTTTTGATTGGTTAACGTTGCGGACATGTACTGAAGCCCTCGGCAGTGTTTTAGCGCCACCTAGCGATTCATTCGATTGCGTCAGTGTTGTAACCTTGAGACGTATCCGCGAAGGTTACACAAATGTGTTAGAAAGAATATTCATAACATGGTCACAACAGACAAAACACTTCTGTGGGGTCGAGTGGCGAAGCAGTAGCGTGTTCAGCTCAGGACCAAGAGGTCCCGGGTTCGAATCCTACCTTGTCACCGATCTTGTGCCCTTGGGAAATGCACTTTACACGGCTTTCCTCAAGTGTAAATGTATCTAGCTTTGCTTTTGGTTAGGGACGTCCCTCGTCCCTTGGGGGGG